AACCATGCATGTGACCGTGCTGTACGCCTTAAACGTTCAGCCTTCCACCGCTGGCGCCGCTCGCCCACTCCCCTCCCACCATCGCTTCGTGCTAGCTGGGGACAGATGCTGGACGACTATTCAGAGAACCAAAGAACGCTTCGTTCACCGTGAAGCCGAAAACTTGGTCTCGTCCGCCACCGGTAGCCGAACATTTTGGTCCCTTGCCAAAGCAGTTTTCCGTGATTTCTACCCTTCCAAATTCCCCCCTATCTGCAATTCCTCGGGTGATCTTATCTGTCAACCAAACGAGAAAGCTGATGCTTTTGATTCCCGGTTGGCCGCCAGTTCCACCTTACCCCATTTTTCTACACATCCACCTTCTTCACTGACAACCCTTTTATTACCTCATATGAGCACCAGGAAAATCCGTCAAACATTGCGCTCTCTAAACGCACACAATTCACCCGGTGTGGACGGTATTCCACCCATCGTCCTCAAAATGTGTGCTCTTGAGCTGGTCCCTGTTTTACCTCATCTTTTCAGTCTTTTGCTCTAACCTTTTTTCCCCATCGCCAAACGCGGCGACCTTTCTAACCCCAGCAATTACTGACCCATTTCCTCATATCTTTTCTTTAGAAGGTATTTGAAACTATTATCTCTGACCAGCTACGCACGTTCCTTGAACGCGAAGGACCACTGAGCGACCGCCAGTATGGCTTTCGACCTCGTCGTTCCACCGGTGACCTGACTCTTGTCTCACAATCCTGGTCAGCTCCACTCAATAACTACGGGGAACCACACTTGGTCTCGCTTGACATCTCAAAGGCATTTGACCGAGTTTGGTACGAAGGTTTACTGGTAAAACTACCCATGTTCGGGTTCCCTCCAGCACTCGTAGCGTGGATATCAAGTTTCTTCAGTAAGCGAACCAGCCATTCCCTGTGAACGCTGGTGTTCCCCAAGGTTCAGTACATGCGCTCACCCTCTTCCTTCTATTTATTAATGATCTTTCCCAAACTGCCAACCCGATCCATTCTTTTGCTGGTGATGCCACCCTCCACTGCTCCCTCTCCTATCGCACTGCTCGCCATGCCCAAACCAACATAGATGGTGACCGTAGTGCAGTTAATGCGTCACTGGACTCCGATCCCGAACACATCTCCTCGGGCATTGCAAACCACATTTCGTTTAATAGTTCTAAAACCTCTCTTCTTTCAATTTCTTTAAAATACCATTCGTTCTCCCCCCATTTATGTTTTGATTCCACCCAACTGCTTTACACAGACAGTTTACCTCATTGGATTGCCTGTAACTTATGCTGATTCCCTTTTATAGCCAAGCCTGTTTCTCAGGCTGCGCGCAAGGTTGAATTTCAATTTCGCGCCAGACGTTTTTTCACCCCAGCTCATCTCCTATTATACAAAGCTGAAATCCGCCCTGTTCTTGAATACTGTAGTCACGTGTGTGGGGTGGGGCTTCGTCCTCTTTCCTTTCCCTTCTTGATCGGGTTCAACGAAAGGCCATCCGGCTAATCGATGATCCTTCCCTAACATCCAGTCTATAGTTGCTAGTC